CGTTAACGCGGGACCTTAAATTTGTCCCGGGAATTTAAGCATTTTGTGTGTATGTGTGTGTGTGTGTTTGTGAAAACACATTGATTTGGAAATTCTTGCAAAAATCAGATAATTGCCGGATTTTAATAAACTTTCAGGATTTATTAAAAAATTAATTTTTATTTTTCATTTTATTTTTATTTTTTTTACATCTGTTACCGCACAAATCATTATTTTTATGAAATTTCGAGAAAATTTTCTTTCTTCGCTTTGTTTATATTTGTTATAAGCACAAGTCCTCGGAGAATGTAAACCATCAAAATTCTTTGGTCTAACAGTACCCCCAGTTGTAGAAAATCTGCCCTGAATAAAACATGCAATAAAACCAAGACATTATTTAATTAGAAAAGCTTTTAATTGCTTTCATGAATAAAATATATTATGTTCACTATTGTCTTAAGAAAAAGGAATTCGATAGATAATAATTTATTACCAGGATGGTTTTCATTTTTAAAAATTTTAGTTAGAATAATTTATAAACTATAAATCTTTTCAAATTCTGTAATAAATTGTAGCAACCAAGTAATATTATTAAATTAAAAATGTATTTACTATTTATAAATGGAAAATATCGCTACTATTAAACGACCCTAGTATTTTAAAAAGAATATTGAATTTTGTGTGTGTGTTTATAAACCTGTCAATTTTTGTAAATACGGTCGTCCATACACGTCATGAGATAAGAGTGGTACCTATAATGAATTTAAAATGTATTAGAAAATTTCTAACATTTTCTCAATAGGCCTCTTCCTAAGTAAGACTATAAAGCCAAAGTACGTAAAATTCAATTAAATATTACATTGCTTTAAAAAGATTATATAAAAAATGTGTTCACGTTGTATCCCTCAAATAATTTATTTCAGTTCTGTCCCCCTTACGTAAATTTCCTAAACATCAGGCTATCAATAAATCCCTCAACACGTAAGAAAAAAAACACCCCTCGGGTTAAAAAATGTTTTCTGCGATATTTTACACAATAAGTAATATTTATTCCAATTCAAATTAATTAAATTTTAAATCAGCTAATTTTCTTAAAATAACGTTTCAGAAAAGTATATTTTATTTTTTAAATATTTTTTTTAACAAAGGGAAATATTTTTTGTTGACAGATCTGTCAGTATGGACGATTTTACTGATAAGTAGAAAAACATTCTGATCGATTTAAATTCAGTTTGAAATACACCAAGTATTTTGCTTATTGGGACTATTCAATTTAATCTATTCACTTGGAATTAAAACTAAAATTAAAATTTCAAGAAAGATTTTTCATTTTTTTTAAAATGCGTTTTAAACTTAGATATAGCTTTTTTTTCTCTTTCTTTTTTTTTTTTTTTGGTGGGGAAGGTACCTACATTATATACGTTTTATCGTTTTTCTTTTTGTTATCATCGTAAAATTCTCGGAAAATACATAATTTATCTAAAATAAATTATTGATGTAACTAGGTTTCGGTTTTTGTTGTTTTTAATTTTTCTATACATAAAAATTACTGTATTTGGAGACATAAGACACCCGAAGAGTATAACCTAATCCCCAGAGTACTGTAAAATTAAATATAAATTGATTGTAAATAGAAAAGTCATACATTACGCTTTCTTAGGGTAAAAGGAAAAGTCACAACTTTGGCTTGTGGGTAGTAAAGGAGTCTGAGAAAAAAATATTTTGAAATGTTTTCATGAAATAATTAAAATTAAATTCATATTTAATTTATATTTAATATTAAAACAAGTAAACTTTTACTAAATTTGATGTTGCTTTTAAATGTAAAATGCTAGTTTATTCAAATATTATTTTTATTTTATTGCAATAGATTAAATGTTATTTTATTATTACTTCTATTTTAAATGGAAATATTATTTTCCCTGTAACCTTTTCCTTAATAAGTTAGGATAGGTTCACTTATCGTACGGTTCACACTCCTCCTCCGTTCTTTGAACAAGTGTATAGGTTTATCGCTGGTTTCCTGCTTAGAATTGGCTTTCCGTCTCCTAAAGTTTTCTCATTCTCTTTCACTCCAAGTAGCACCCTTGCGTCTTAGTGGCTTTATCGCCTTGCTTGGAGTGAATTGATTAAAACAAAACAAAAAAATAATAATAATCATTATACCATTTCCCTACCTTAATTGTTAGAAACAAATAAAAGAGTACTGAACTGTTATGTAACAAAGTTTCTTTTATATAGCAGTGAAATGCTGAACAATCTCCTTACAGATGAAGAAGAGATTTTAAGAGAACAGAAATGTGGTTCAACAGAACGATGCTGAGAATATTATGGGCCGAGCATGTGAACAATGATGAAGTTTTAAGGAAAATGGAAAACAGAAAAAAAAAGACATATTTAGAATCAAAAAGAGAGAGTTAAAATTTCTAGGACATATAATAAGGTAAGAGAGCTTGGAGAATTTGACACTCAAAGGACAAATTGAAGGCAAGAGAGATTGAGGAAAGCAACCTACCTAACAAGCTTTGTGTCAATGGTTGGCAGAAAACTAAAAGGGACTAGGATAGCAAAAAGAATATTTACTCAGAGCTACAAAAGGTAGGAAGCTGTGGAGAACCATGAACGACCACATCCTGAAGGGACACGGCACATAGAAAGAGTTTGTCTATATTTATTTGAGTGGTTTTTGTACGCCACGCATTAAATACGGTATTTATTTATTTTATTATTTTTTAGGGTTGTCCACTTTTTCGCTAAAAAAGTGGCATATCCTGATGAAAAAAAAGACCCCAAACTTAATAAAAACAACGTTTTATCGCGAAAAACATTATGTTAAGAGGAGAGACCAAAGTATTTTTTTTAATTAATTATTTTTGGAAATTTTCTTATTCTGTTTTTTTTAGCACATTTGAATTTGTAGTTGAAAATCTTGTTTTTTTGTTTTGTTTTTATTTTTAGGTCAAAAAAAGTCACATAATATTTTGCATTAGCTTTAAATTTAAATAAATAAATAAACTAACAAAGACCTGAGTTTAGGAAACCAAAATCGAAACAATTTATTTTCTTTTGAATCGCGAATCTTGGCTTAAAAAATAAAATAAAACTCACACAGTCAAAATGGAACAAAAAAAAAAAAAAAAAAAAAAAAACGATTCTAATGATGACATAAAAACCGACTTTCATTGCCTTGACCCTCAGCGAAATTCAACTGATTTGAAATTAATATTTTAATAATGGACTTTTCCAAAATTTAGGTTGTATCAGTTGACAGAAATTTCGTAAATTAGTTACTACAATATAGGAGTCCCAAATGTTTGTCAACAATCATCCACTTCTTTTATCAACCGTGTATCACTATATAAAAAAAATTACGTTTAGTGTGGCACAAGGTCATCGTAATGTGAGACGTACATGGAGTATTAAAGGCCTCAGTCATATAGTTTTTTTTGTTCTTATTTCTGTTTTCTAACAATATGTCTTCCTGGTGAAAGGAGAAACGAAAAGCCTGACTCAGATTACCAATTGTGTTCAGTTTTTATTTTTTTTTTATCACCACAAGAATTTAAAATTATTTATTTGCACATTTACTTCATTGAAATTTGAAAGAGAAAAAAAATTTCACAGTTTGTACAACAAAGTAAAGAAAAACGAACTTTTTAAAAAAAATGTTATTTTCACTATTTGTGGCATTTAAATAAAATATTGGAAATAAAAAAAGTTATGTGTAAATAAATAAATACGGTTATCATTGAAAAGTTGTAAATGAAATAATTTACAATACATTTTACAATTTTTTGAGGCGAAAACATCCCGATTTTAAAGAGTAGAAGAAAAAAAAAGGAATTAATTTGTTGGTTGATGTCAAAAATTGTCGGTATTTATTTATTTGAAGAATGACGAAAAAACTGACAAGTTTGCATATCTATATAAAGGAGAAAATTAATTTTTTTTTCATATTATTAAATTCCACCCACATTTATTTTCAAGCAAAAAAAAAAACAGTTATCGAAATTTTCAGCTCTGTCTTGAATTAAAACAAACGATTCTTAATTATATCTTCATTACCCTATTAAGAAAAAAAATATTTGAGAATTTTTTTCTGGATTTAGACGAGATTTTTTTTTTTACCTGACGTTTCACACCCACGCAAAATCAGATAATGAGTAAAGGGCGCCTGTTCTAGAGCAGAAGCTATCCAATGAAATTACTTTTTTTTTTAATGATAGATATATTTATTTTATAGTCAGTGTAAGTTGCTTGATTCCCACTTGAGTCTAGAGACAATCCACTAATGTGAACTTTTGCTACACTAAGTTAAACATGTAAAAGTACTTTTGCCAGAGACAGGGGAAAAAAATGAAAGCATGTGTGAACCAAGCGCGCTATTGGGCCTGACTTAGTAGATACGATTTTTTTTTTTTTTTTTACTTGTTATGTAGTCCAGATTTGATTACAAGTAAAAAGTACAGTGACATAAATTTAAGATTCTACTTTAACTTGTTTTATGTCAAAACTGAAAAATAATATTAGAAACAATTTCAAATAACGATGTTAGTTTATTTTTATTTTCAGGGGTCACTTCAGTACGCTTCTTACGCATTTTATTTTTTGCTCGTTAGTTTTGTAATAAAAAAAATCTTTTAAACGTTACGTTGCTACGTCAGCATTTTTTAAGTAAGAAAAAAAAAGTTTTAAGAAAGAAAAAAGATATGAAAAAATGTCTTTTTGCTTTGTGACTTTAGCTTCCCAGTTTTATGGCGGCAATTGGGAATAATGCGCGTAACTTTCTGAATTGAAAAGAAAAATCGATTTAATAAAAAAATTAAATTATTTTTCAGTTTCATTAAAAAAAAATTAAGATATTGTCCATTGACACTTTTTAAAAAATATCTTTTATTCTCATCTCGTCCGGATTAACAACCTCGAACCACAAAAAAAAACCTCACTAATTCCCCCTCCCCAACTTAAAAAAAAAAGTAAAGTTTTAAAAAGTTACTTGGAAAATAAATAAAAACACTTACATCCACACCTGAATATCGTTTGAGTTCATCACTAGTGAAAATTCTCACCGGTGTTTTCACGTTCAGTTTTTCTATCACATCATGAGGAATGGCAAATTTCTCGGCAGATGTCTTCTTCGCAACAACCATCAGCAAAAAAAGACTCAACATTCCCGTATAAAACGAATAATACCTGTTAAATGATAACAAGAACCTAGTCGCCATTCTCGGCCAAATAAAGAAAAAATTAATCGTGGTTAACAAAAGAGGGAAATGATATCTAGTTTGTGGCGGATTTTTATGGATGATGAACTTTTCTAGTTATCGGAAGGAGGTTTTGTCTCTCTCGGGTGTCACCAAAGAAATTGTTTTAAATGGAAAAATGTCGACGTAGAGGAGAAAATCGTGCGATCTGAAGTGGTTGAATAAACATACAGTACTTAAAAAAAATAGTTGCTTCTACAGACTTTTTTTTAATTGTTTTATATTTGTTGCAATGTACACTGTCCAACTGACGTTATCTGATAACCGAACGTCAGTTGAAAGATTACATATTGAAAGTAAAGTTTAATTTAAACTTTTTAATTAAACTTTCAATATTGATTGTAAAGTTAAATCGTAATCTTTCGATAATCTTCCTACATGCCGATATGTCGACCTTCACCAGAAACTTATTCATTTAAATTGAATTACGTTTTTTAATTCATCGCACACGAAAAAATCTTTCTACAGAACTTGTATTTTTTTTCTTATTTATATTACAAGTATTTTAATAATTTTGACACTTTTCGATAAACAAAGATACGCATGTTTTTGTTCGTAACACAAAAAAAATGAAGTAGTTTTTGCTTTATTGACACTTTACTTTATATCAAGAACAGACACACTACTTTCACACGTGAGTGAGATATGGTACAAGGCTATTTTTAATGTGTTCTTCCCACCTCTCCTTCTATGAGGAGTGGTGACAAAATTTACTTAAGCTTCCTCGACACTTCACTTTCTGGACGCCACAGGCATTGACACTCTAACTCTCCCACACTTAGAATGAGAAGGTGAGGCGGGGGCCTGAACCTGAGATATTTATTCCAGCAGACATGTTGGATTCACAGATCTGGTTGTAAAAATATCAATAGACACATTAAAAATGTTACATTTTCGTACAAGTCAAGTACTGTGGTACTAACTGAAATATGTGACGTCATAGAAACATGTGAATTATTTACAATCAAATGTAGAGAGGCGGAACGAACAAATTAAGTTATTGAAACAATCAATTTAAAATTTATTAGTCAAATAAATGCGAAAGGTTAAACATTGAGTGCTGAAAAACTTAAAAGAGGATTCAAAATTGACCTGATTTCGAGGCTATGAATTTTTTTTTGCTTGTTTGTGACGTCATACACATTTGTATGTGACGTCATACACACTTTAACAAAGGCCACGGTACATGACTTAAAATAATTAGTTAGGTATAAGATAGCTACTGATGACCAACCTCGACCACTCTCCCCACTTTTTTCGGCCTTGTGCCACAATTACTGTATCAGTAATAAATCTTTGACTTAATAATAACTCAAGGTTTAGATATGAATACTGAACAGATAGAGATCTATATTTTTTGCTTACATTTGTCATTTGAAACTTTTTTCGTTTATAAAATAAGCAGTCAAGTATTAGATAAGTTTTCATTCTCTGATACAAGTTCGACCTCCGTCTGCCTTTTTTACAAATACTTTCACTGGTTCCCAGACTTCATGAATTTAAGCGTTCAACTAGGCTGGCATCTCGCTTTCAAGAGTAACCGAAAATAAAGTCATAACTTTGGCTTGTAGGTAAGGAAAAAAAGTGATATTTTCCTTTAAAACTTAAAAATCAATATTTTTAATAGAATATGTAGTATTTTGAATTTATATGTCTTTATAAACTAAATGTCATTTTAATTTATAGTAACAAAATAAATATATTTAAATTTTTAACTTTTTTCTTTTTGGCATAGTATGAATTATGAAGTGTTTTCATGTCACAAAAAATTGTCCTGTATATTGTCAATTGAAAAATATTACTTCCCTGGATCCCACTATTCTCCTGATTCAGTGAGGGTGTGTAGCATGCATTGTGGTGCAGTTGTAGCTCAATTGTCATGGGAGGCAGACATCACTTTGTCTTCTTTGGAGTATCCTGTCACCACACCTGCCTAACAAAGGTAAGTTTTCATGAATTGCACAAATTGCAAGAATGTAGCAACCAGTGGTTAATCAGAGTAAAAGGTAATGGCTACATAATGAACTCACATTGCTTCTTCTTTCCATTTCAATTCATGGCTATTTTTGATGAATAAAACTTTTCTCTATTATTGTATTGATGTAGTTTACCTTACAATTTACAACATTATTTGTCTATATTTCTGAGATGAGATATTATGTGCACTATTTACATTATTCGGACTATTGTCCTCATCTTTGTCTCCATATTTATTACAATGTTTCATCCGTTGTATGCTCCGGCTTTCTTCTCAAGGACACATGGCACAGTGGATAAAGGCATTAGTTAGATCCAGTGACAGGATCCAAAGAGTGTAAGTTCAATACCCAGTTAAGGCAGTGGAGAACTTGGAGAGGGGAATTAACAGGAGATAACTGACAACTGACATCCACTAAACATGGCACGTGGGACTAGAATAGTCAACCCCAGTGAGCAAAATAAAGGGTTCAGTTCGACATTCCATCCAACTGAAGAAGGCCGGAGTGTTCAATGGCTGAAATGTTGTAATAAATATGGTGACAAAGATGAGGATAATAGTCCAAATAATGTAAATATGTTACAACATGTTTATGCAACAAATTCTTTCTAATTTTCATTTCAATGAATAAATATATCTTCCGTTCAAGTTTTGATTTAGTGTATGGTATATAGAGATGAAGTAAAGGCCAAATTTACTGTCTATAGTACCATTTATTGTTGACTCCATTTGGTTAGTGTTTAAAATGGTTGACTATCATCATAGTTCTTTATGTGATTTGAGAATTCATACAGGGTTGTTGTGTTCCTTCTGGTTGATGGAAATTAATTCATTGCATTCATCTTTTCTTCTTCTTTCTCTTCTGGAGTTGTATGTCAGGTCAAACTCACAGCCAATGAATCACCAACCCTTGCGTCTCAAACTGCTACCTTGAATCAAGTTCCTCTCCACTGCGGCGTCTCTAGTCTCATACATGGTTTTCTTCTTTTTATTGGGGCTGACACCTCCATGTTTCCCATTTGATTTTTGGTGAGGCATGTTGTCATTGGCTGATTTTTATATGACATTCACTGACCCATATAAACTAAGTCCGGGTCCATGTCTGTTACCAAAGATAGGAACAATAAAAGGAAAGAAAAGAAAGAAAATATATAGAAGAGAGGGAGAGAGTTTTCTTTACCACTCACTTAGTAAAGAGGAAAGTGTATATTTTCGTATGGTGTTATTACTAACTAATCCTACTACAAATGTATATTGTAGTGGAGATTGTCTGTTATGTTATTTTCCTCAGCAGTATAACAATTTTTTACATAATTGTAATACTATAAGGATTTTTGTATTTTTTTTTTTTGCTCATGGTGTGTAAACATCCCAAGGGACTATCCATTTTTGGAAATCCAAGATATCTAACAGTTAATTTCTATAAACTGCATACCATGATAGTTGTTGGAAAAGACAGTACCAGTTCCAAGAATTTTCCTTCTTCTAGATTGGTTGCCAACTAAGGCTAAAGAGCCAAGTCTACCCTATTTTACCCATATATAATCTCATCATGAAGCAATGGTTAATCTTCTATATCATCACTGCTGTAGTGAAGTCAATGTCTACACTACTGCAACGTTAGTTCAAGCATGTTACACCAGAGGAGAATGGGCTGTAATGAAGAAATTGAATTTAACATTTGGTAATATCTTTTTGCATTTCTATATAATACATAGCATGATTCACAAAACAGAGAAAATGTATTTGTGTGTGTGCACAGGTGAAAAGGAAGAAAAATATGTAAGGTGTGGAAAATTTGTCCCAGTTTTCGCTCATGAAAGGGTTGAGGTTAAATAATTGCAACAAAAATCGAATAAAAACAGCAAGATTAGAACGGACAAATTCTCTCTTTTAGGCAGACGAATAAAGAAAGACTCAAACCTCCTGCTCCGTGTGTGACAGTAAAAGAAGAAACTGTTTATTTACATATACAAAAAAAAGGGATAAAAAGACAATTACAAGAGAAAGAAAGGGAGAAGAAAAAGTCCCTTTAACTTTAAAGGAAGAGAAAATGTTCATAAAAGAAAAAAGGCTTGCTCAAAATATTTTTCTGTGAGCCTAAAAATTCTTTAAGTGAGTAGATTTTTGTTAAAGGTCAAAACACTCACAGTTTTCCTCAAAGTTCCTGCAGAGTAGGAAAATGCTGGTAGATATAGGAATTTTGCAGTTGAGTGAGTTCGTAGGTTGACGACTGAAGTCTTGTAGGTGAAACGAGGCAGCTTTAATTGTGGGCCGACGTTCGTTCTTGACGGCCCTTTAATAGGTAGTTCTTCTTTGGTTGAAAGTGGTTCCGGGGTTAACTGGTGCTCTCTATTGCCGGCTTCAAAATATTTCTCTGAGAGCCTAAAAATTCTTTAAGTGAGTAGATTTTTGTTAAAGGTCAAAACACTCACAGTTTTCTTCAGAGTTCTTGCAGAGCAGTAAAATATCAGTAGGTAGGAAATTCTGTAGTTTAGTGAGTTCATAGGTCAACGACAGAAGTCTTGTAGGTGAAAGGAGGCACCTTTCAACTGGTCTTTAATAGTGGGTCGACGTTCGTTCTCAACAGCCCATAGTAGATAGTTCTTTCTTGAAGATGACAGTGAAGATGACTGCTGGTGTTTCTGTTGTCAACTTTTTTTACTTCACAGACAATTGATGATTACTCACTGCCAACTAGGTGAAGATTCTCCAAATTTATGGAGATTTGGGAGGCTCAGAAGAACCAAGGAATTTTCCCTCCAAAATTGTTATACAAATTTCCTAGCCCCTTCATTGGTTAGAAAATGTGTTCTTATCTCTGATAAGAATCAGGGTCTTGGGAGCTGTAACAAGCTGTAAAGTTTCCTCCAGACTTTATGGCACCATGGAAATAATGGTAGTAGAATTCATTTTTATATTTTTTAGC